CAATGACCCTGGTTTGGCGTTGATGTTTGAGCATGCTTTTGGCGTGGAGGCCGAGGACGAGCTTGATGTTGAGCTGGATAGCTTGTGCGAAAATTTTTGCAGTGAGGTTGGCTTGGGAGTGGGCCTATATTGTGCCATTACGGGGCTGCCGCTTTCCGGTGGCAGCAGAGCCTCGGTTCGATCCAGGGGGCGGTTGCACGGCGCTGTGGCCTACTTGTGCCTGATTGCGATTCAGGATTTTGTGAAGGTGATCCGGGTGCGGGTCGGGGTGATCTCGTTCTACACGATTCTGCGGTTTGTGACCACAAGGCTTGGGTCTGCTATCTTGCATACAAGCCTGATGGAGGGCGTAGGCTCATACTATGATGGGTTTGGGGGTCGTGGCAATGTCAGGTGGAAGAGTTCGAAGCCGGCGCTGGTCGCGAGCAGGCAGTGCTGCCACAGGCGGCATCAGCAGCGATTCCTTCTCTGGCGATGCCGGAGAAGGGGAAGGCACCAATGAGCCACGTCCTTCGACGGGATGGAATAGCTGGGCAGAAAACGGCGCTTGGCAAGGCGATGGGTCGGTGCCAAGCCCTGGCCATCGAAGCAATGAAAATTGGTCTTGGAGCTCCACGGGTGCGGGTCACGGAGGCGACCGCGGCTGGCAGCGGGCGAATGAGAACTGGAGCTGGAAGAATAGGATGGCAAGGGTGACGATTCATGGTAGTCATGCGATGCAGACTATGTCGGAGATGGCGAGAAGGGCAAGAGTGCTTCAAGGGCGTCTTCGGTGGCCTCACTCAGCGAGGCGGACGCCGGCAGCGTGAAGGTGGTCGGCGAGGGCGGCGAGAGAAAGTTCGGGGGGAAGGTGTCGAGCACGTATCCCCCGATCTTCAAGGCCCGGCCTCAGGAGAGCTATGTGGAGTGGAAGCAAAGTGTTGAGTTTTGGATAGGCGGTGAGGGCGGTCAGCTACTTGCGGAACTGATAGGCCCTCGGATGGTGGTCCAGCTCAAGGAGCGCGCCGCTCAGCTGGTCAAGCTCCTGGGCAACGCCGATGGGAACGGTCCCGACAGTAAGCAATTCATTTTTGACGCTTTGGAGAAATCCCCCCTCATCCGTCAGCTGGATAAGCACAAGGTGGATGAGCACAGGAGGAGGTTGATATCCTTGAACCGTGGTCCGGAGAATATTTGGAATCTTACGTGACTCGGGCCTTGATTTATCGCACGCTCCTCCTGGCAATGGATGGCAGCATGACCATCGGCGAAACCTTTTACGTGGGCCACCTTGTAGATCATGCTCACTTGACCCGTCGGGCCTGTGCGATGGTAAAGACAAAGGCCGGCAGCGAGACGGACGAATTCCTGGTGACGAATGCCTTCATCGAGCTGGCGAGCGAGCTGGAAGGCGAGCAGGGATACCCGATAGGTGCTTCAGAGCCGAATGCCACAAAGGAGTGGTTGCTTCAGGGGGAAGAGGGCAAGGGCCGTCCGGTCCCCAATCGTCTTCCCCGAGCGGCGCTGGCGGCCGAGCAGCTGGATGGCGACACTGTCACGGACCTGGATGACTACGGCGACGAGTCCTTGGACGGGGAGGACTATACCCCGGAGTTGCACGTGGCCGTGAACGAGGCTTTCGGCATTCAGCACCGGGCAAAGCAAAAGATCGCTGAAGGGGGGAAGCTTCGCCAGTACTACCGGCGGCCGGACCTCGAGGAGCGCAAACGAGCCTTGGCCGAATAGATGCGCACCAGCCCTTGTCATATTTGCGTACAATATGGTCACTGGTCCCGGGAATGCCCTCATAAAGAGAAAACAACCTTGGCGACGACGAAGGAGAAGCCGATTCCAGTGCCAGTGCTGGCTTCGAGGGCGGCCCCGCCGAAGATGGACGTCATCCCGGAGGACCAATCTGAGGGGGATGATTAGGGCCTTTTGCTTTTGATGTGCCGCTCTGGGTTGAAACCGGCGCTGGCTGTACAGAAGACCTTGGACAGTGGCCGCACTTGCTCCAAGTATAAGGGGGATGGCAGTGGCTCAATCAAGCGGGTCTTCCCCACAGTCGCGCTGCACTTAGCGAGGTCATGCGGTCGATGCTGGAATTGGCCTTCAAAAATATCTTAGACATAGGGTGCATAAGGCCTGTTGTTGCTGCGAACCCGCAGGTGTTGAGTGCTCAGATGCGTGCTAGCCAGCCCAACGAGTTCGAGTCCCGCAATATCTGCGCCTCTGAATCCTCTTCTGTGCCGGATATGCAAGAGCCACGACTATCGGACAAAGGACTGCCGCCCAGGTAGACTCGGACGTTGTGGAGAAGGAAGGCGACCGCCGCTGGAAGCGGATCCCTCGGTGGCTGTCAGCTCTTGGGGAAGGAAGTGGCGGCGCTGTGGGGGCATTTCGGCTCGATGCGCCAGCGGATGCATGCCCCCGGTATGGTCAAATTGATATGAGGGACAACGGCAGGCACTTGAATCGTGAGCATGTTCAGCGGCTGAAGAATGATATTCGTGATGCCCTTCAGGTGCTTCATATCTTCGACCTGGTCGTCAAGGATGATGTCAAATAGATGCTTCTCGAGATCTTCGCGGGCAAGGCTGGGCTTTCGGCGCAGGCGAGGAGGCGATCTGATTGGAAGGTCGTTGGTCCTGCGAATCTACTATGAGAAGATCCGCGAGAGGGGACTGTCGTATACGTGCACGAGCCACCCTTCTCGGCGAGGCTTGGCAAGACGCCTTCAGGATCATTCTAATTGGTCCGGATCAGGTGGGGCGGAATGCGTGGAAAGAGATCATTCAGTTCCTCGGCGGCTTTGGGTGCGGAGCCGTGGACGGATCAAAATCTTTCTCCGCGAGAAGGTGCGCTTGGCGACTCCCGACGAGATGACGAATTCTCAATTCGTCACGGACGCTCTCAAGGATGGGGAGGCCGAATTGCACAAATGCAGTATCATCGTTGACGAGGCGGCCGCGGACGACGTCCCCGAGGAGGTCACGAACAAATGCAGCGACGGCCGAGGGTGCGGAGTCCAGCGGAGAGGCGAGGCCACGCGAGAGCCAACCTGTCGGAGGATTTCCCGATCTCAATCAAGCGCAGCCTCGCCGAACGCAAGAAGCGGGAGGAGGAAGAGGTCATAGATCCCCGCACGCTTGACTTTGCCAAGAAGCAGAAGCTGTTCGAGGCTCTGTCTAAAACACTTGGGGCCCCGATTAAGCTGCAGGAGGGCGAGCTCAGGAGCCGGATGGAGAATGCGTATGCCAAGAGGAGGGCCGTGCGGAAGGTTATCCGGTGCAAGGGCAAGGACGAGCTGCCGAAGCGTGGGAGCCGACAGGCCCGAGGGCAAAGCTCATGGGGGGGCCCATGCGGATGCACTGTGCGTCGAAACTACTTTGGCTCTGCCTTCCTTCCGGCCGGGCGAATTCGAGACCATGATCAGTGATAATATCGGTCAATGGACTTTGCGGACCCCCGAGCCGAGATGGAGGATATCGCAGAGGTGACAACGGGCCGTGCCAGGGTCGAATACCAGTGATCCAAATTGGACGACGAGTGGAGGCGAGCATATGTGGGTCCGCTCAAGAAGGCCATCGGCGTCTACTTGGAGGAACCCCAAGGGTCAAGAATCGTCTTGACCAACAAGGGCGGGACTATCCTTGTAGAAGCCGAATTGAAAACCAGATAGATCTTTCGAGGACGCCATGATCTAGATGCAGGGTTATACGAGACCTCCTCGCCGACAGCCAGCATCTTGGGTCTCAATTTGCTGAAGTTTGTGGCGGTGCAGGAGAGGCGGATTGCGCATTATGAGGACGTGAATGCAGCCGTCCCCCAAGGCAAGCAACTTCCACGCACGGAGATGAGACGGTCCAGGAGTTGCGGGACTTGTTGCGCTCAAAGTTGAAGTTCGGTCAACAACGCAAGGCCACGTATGGATGGGTCAAGTTTTGCGGAAGAAGGGAGCGCCAAGATCCGAAGACGTTGGAGATGGAATTCTCCATAGACGAATACGTGAAGGGCATCCCAATGGTACGGGCGTGGTTTCCGGCATCGACGGTATCTTCTTCGACTTCGCTGGGACCTATCCCGGAATCTACCTCGACCACCTCGACTTCTCCAACGGCACGGATCAGCTCTATCTCTTCTCCTTCCGGGCCTCCCAGATCCAATAGACCTTAGTCGGACGCCGGCATCTCAGACATCTTCCTCGACTTCTCAGGGGCCAATTTCATAGATAACAGAATCCGAAATGCAGGACGTGGACCTTTGGGACTACCTGCAGGATAAGGTGGGTCATAGTCAGCTGCCAGCAGATGTAGTTCCACTGACGGAGGGCGAAAAGAAAATCATCAATTCGATTGGTAGATAACTGAATTGGGCTGCACGTCAAGGAAGATACGGCTTGGCCGATACGGTGTCCCTAGTGCAACAACTGACTGGTCAAGGACGACCTGAAGCGCCCAAATGATTGATTCTGGGCGTGAAGCGTGCAAAGGAACCACTGAACTTCCGGATGCGAAATTTTGGGTGGTCGTTTTATGATATGGTGATGATCTCCGTCAGCGATGCCGCATACGGCGCAATCCCGAATGGGGGCAATCAAGGTGGGAACTTGGCGATATTGGCTCATCCCGACGTATTGACGGGCAATGGGCCTGCGTGCATCTTGGAGAGCAAGAACACGAAAGTGCAGCGCGTTGTTCGTCGCTCTATATCTGCAGAGATCTCGACTTTGGCCACGGCGTATGAGCACGGAGACTTCATCCGGGCGGTGCTGGCTGAATTGCTGGACTTTGACTTCAAGATCAAGCGCTGGAAAGCACATATATCGAAATGGCGGCACGTCCTGGCGACAGACGCCAAGACGGGCTATGACGCCATCTCCAATGAAAGATTGCCCTCCGATCGGAAGATCGTAGCCGTCTTGAGGCAGGCCGTCCTTGAGGAAGGCATTGGATGTTTCATCCGCTGAGTGTCGGGCTCCGAGATGGCCGGCGATGGGCTGACCAAGGTGGGGCACAACAAGATCCTCACGCGTGGGATGTCCTTAGGGGAGTGGGCATTAGCTGATAATGCAGCAGCTCAAGAGTTGCGGCGCTTGGCAGCTATAAGGAAGGCCCAGTGGCGAAAGAGCCGCAACGCAAATGCGTAAGGATCTCATTTTGCAACGAGGTCTGGACTGATTCCGTCTATTAAATGAGTCCCTTGCTTACCGGCCCAGGTCATGTACGATCGCCGGAGCCGTGCGGATCAAGCTTGGAGCAGGATTGGTAGAAAAGGATTCTGAGCCGTGATCTGCCATTTTGAGACTCTGCGGAAATACTATAGCCCTACTGTCCCTAAAACTTAAACCCGAAACCTTAAACCCTAAACCTTAGACCCTAAATTTTA